AAATTTTGGTTTCAAAATGTCTAAGAGACCGACCGTGATCTATTTAGACGATAATTGTTAAATATAATTATATTGTATTAAGTGAGCTATGAGCAATTTAATATATAAAAATGTATAAAATAAAACAATGGATAATTGGATACCCATCGACGAAGACTGTTTTCAAGGATTTTCTATTTTTAAGAAGTTCTGAATAAAGGTTAAACTGTGTTTCCAACGCTAGAATCGCTACTGCGAGTAACCACCCCCCGCGAATATTCGAGACTCTCCTTAATTTCATGTAATCCATTTAAACGTATGTAAAACAATCGATATCTATCGACAGCGGCAATCTCACCCAGAATCGATAGTTACAATGGATTTAAATGGAGGGAAACAAGCTAACTCCGAGAGCTGCCACCAAGGCACCTGTACTGCCGTCCTAGGTAAAACCGCCGTAAAAGCATTCGAATGTTGCTTTTCCTTTTGGAAAATATTTATTTTTTAAGAAAATTATTAATATTCTTCAATTGAAATTTTCACACAATTAGATTGATCAAAATACAAAAAAAATCCCGTAAAAAATAGTGATAGAAATATTCACAAATTTTCCTGGAAATTCGTGATTTTTCGAAGGAAATATGGCAACACCTGCGGGTCGATTATTAAAATTGATAGACATAGCTATAGACAAGTAAGACACAAGAATTGTTGGTGCATCCTATTGGTGGAAGCAAGTGGTTGCAATGGACAAAGGAGGTAGGTGACAGACTAACTAATGACAACCCACGAGAGACCCGATAGTTAGTCCATCGTTTTCTCTCTTAGTCTATAGGAACCACCCATTTCAACCAATAGGATAGCTCCATACTCCCTATGTCTTCTTTGCCTATGGCTTTGTCTATCAATTTCAATAATCAGCCCGCTGAAGGCTTATACGGCGTTCTTACTTAGCACGGCTGTGTAGTCCCAAGCTCCGCGGATATTCGAGGCTCTACCTACTTCAATTATCGCGTACGCAGGATAGCTCCATACTCCCTATGTCTCCTTTGTCTATGGCTTTGTCTCTCAATTTCAATAATCAGCCCGCTGAAGGCTTATACGGCGTTCTTACTTAGCACGGTCGTGTAGTCCCAACCCCCGCGGATATCCGAGGCTCCACTTACACCAATTACCGCGTAAGCAGGTGTCGGAGGGACCAGGACCAGCGACTCCCAAAACACGAGACTCCACGTTTCAATACGAATCCTGAGAAGTTTCTCCACCGTTGGTTGAGGAGAACTCGGCTCAAGAGACAGATTATACTTTTATAGACTTTCACTTTGTTCGCGGCCGGATCTGCCACCTAATCCGGCCCGGCACCGGTTAAGCTCACCGACCCCCTGCCCCCCCCCCTCCTGCCTCGTAGACCTTCACTCCTCATCAAATACTTTTGTCCTCTAACCCCTCTCCACCGGCCACTTAACCGATCCGACCCATGCGTAAGGATATTCATTCCGAGTGGAGATTACCGGCTTATTGCAGCAACTGATCTTGAATTACGAATCGACTTGACGAGTATGGTACCCGGGAATTCGACTTTTAGTAATCATGAATGCAGGCTGAATGGTCATTACTTAAGCAGTTCCCTCCCTTAAGGAGGTATATATCATACATATAAATATCGTCCAAGAGAATGCGGTCCTCTCTGCACAGACTCCCATGGGTGGTTTCACGATGACTGGAATAGTTTTGTCGCCGTAACAGACAATATATTTTTCGGTCATATTTTTAGTAGTAATGATAATGACTCAAATTTGTTTGCATTAATCTACACGGGGTTACGTGTTATAACGCTTTTCAAAGATTTATCGCTCTAATTTTCAATTTTAATATATAAATCGCCGAAAATGTGCTGTTTGTTACGACGACAAAACTAATCCAGTTATCGTGAAACCACCCCCATACTTTCCGGAGGGATGATTTTTTGGGGGAAAAATCGCGTCTCGCCCTCTAGAACCAAAATGGGTCAGTTGCGCTGGTCATAGAATCATGTTTTGATGCTTGGTTCTTGTAGATTAGCTAAAAATAAGAAGATCTTTCCAAACAGTGACTTTCTACCGTATGAATATTGAGTATTAACCGAGGTATCGTCCTTTAAAAAGTCGAGCTTTTGACGTCATCCACCGCGGCGGTGACACCCTTGCCCGTCCCTTGGTTCCTTCCAGCTTTCTTTCATCCGAGGTTTACGTTGAGTAACCAGTGCAAATGTGTGTCTCCTGGACTGATGAATGCAAGGTGGAAGAAACCAAGGGTGTCACTACCGTGGTGGATGACGTCAAAAATCCAAATTTTCAAAGGGCGATAACTTGGTTAGTATTCAACGTAGAAAGTTTCTGTTTTTGGAATTTAATTTGAAATGACACTTGGAGTCATATTTGGACTACATTTTGCAATTTGGAACTACAACTTTTGGCTCATCAGTAATAACACTGCAGCGCGTTTAGAGACTAGTGGTACATACGCTGTTCCTAAGCTGAGAAAGATATTGTAGTTCCAAATTGCAAAACGCAATGCACTTCAAGATATAAAGCTTAAAAGACAACTTATGAAAAAAAAAAAAAAAAAAAAAAAATTGCACCGATTACTCAACCCGTGTTTTGAAAAGAGACCCAGGTATAAAAAACCATGATACGTAACGTAACCATGTTAACGTATCCACCGTGTTAGAGATAAGACGATCGTATAGAGAACGCGGAGAGACAAATGAAGTTATTACCTGCGATTATACAAAAAAAAAAAAAAAAAAAAAAAAAAAAAAAAAAAAAAAAAAAAAAAAAAAAAAAAAAAAAATACGATTTTGTGACACGATGTTGATCTTGTCACGTTGCTCGGAGAATCCCAAAATGAACGATAACTCAAGGTTTCTGGATGTCACTTCCCATGCCGATCGATAATGGGGTGAACTGAGCGGCTTTTAGAATAAGTTAGACTGTTTCTCGTGTCACCGAATGTCCTCTTATGTTCATCATGTCTAGGCACTTTATTTGAGTTACATCTAGTTTATGGAAAACATTCTCACAGCGTTTCAGGACCGAATGCTGCTTAGATTTTTATTTGTACCATTTCAATAACGCGAGTGGAAATTAGGGAACGCAAGATACAGTAAAACTGTCTCCGGTTAAAAACGTCAGTATATAAGCCAATGGCTGCGAAGTTCACTGCTTCAATGTTCTTGAATCCGTACCGATTATTAAATTTCTTTATTTTTAGAGCAAACTAGTGACGAGTACCTAACTGGTAAAAGTTTCGTTCAAAATATAATAAAATTATGGAGAATATCTCATTGATCGTTCAACTACATTTTGCAATTAGGAACTGCAATTTCTAGCCCATGCGTAAAAACACTCATGTGCGGAGGGAAGCTAAATGGTTCATATGTCGTCTCTAAACTGAGTCAGACATTGTCCCAAATCGCAAATTGCAGTCCAATCGACCGATCACAGGCCAAATTAAATTCCGGCTTTATCAAAATTTTCTACATATTCCAAATTTCAACACATAATTCTATTTGATATTCCTTGCCGAATCAATGTATTTACGTAATAAATTCATTTGTGTGTGTATGCACGTTATGACACTTCTTAAAACAAAAGATAGACAACCTTTTATCCATTGATTTCAGGATCAAATTATGCCACTTATTCTACAATGCACATTATTCATACAATGCCCAATCAAAGCCATAAATTGAGTTTTATGGATTTGATACGTGGAGGCGCAAAATCACAGGATCAAAGAATTTGGAAGATATTAATGAGGCGATATTTGGCGGACTGTACACTTGTTGAAGCGTGTTTGATTAGGTGAGAATTAAGATCGCTCTGTGCCTGCCCGGATTAATTTTATAGGACAGTAATTAGAAGAGTTGAGGAACTTAAAACCTATAGTTTATAATTTTGAGAGAGCGTTCAGAACATGCCAAAAATGAGTGCAATCATTCAGGGTTAAAACTCGCTTCTACTCTGTCGTTGCGATCATCGATCAATATCTGTGAGTACGTTCATCAGGCATTCTCCAGTCCCTTTTAAAAAGTAAATATCAAAGAATATTTAACCAACGAACTGTTTAAATTTGGAACTTGCCGATTAAACCTTTCACTCAGCTGGTCTGAACCCTCTCCAAGAATATCCCTGCAAAGCCGGATTCAAGGGTCCTGCCGCCTGTCACATTCCAAAAATGAGGATGAAATTTTTAAGCCTCTCCTCAGACGGTTCTACATTACACGTTTTAAAAAAATTAAGGAGAAATTAGAAAGGGAAAATTGACACGGGCCTACACTGGGAAGAAACCATGGTCAAACTTTCGGCTAAAGCAATGAGCATTTGATCGGGAAAAACATGAAAATCTTAAAATCACGAAAAATTGAAAATGCTGTGAAAAATTGATAGGAATATAGGCATCCATTCTAAACTTGGTGGTATGGAAATTTTATAGTGAGTACTGAGTTGTCAAAAATTAATTCTCCAATTAGACATCGTAAAAAATTCGTATAAAACCAATAATGAAAGGAGGCAAAATGAAACTTAAACTCTAGCTTAGAGTGGTTAATTTTCCATAATAAATACCCACAAATTCCGCACATTTACTCTATGAGGGCATTTCGAAGTTTAAGAACGATAAATTGCAATTTCAAGTGAAATGAAGTCAAAGTTTGCCGGTCTTGTTGTCAGCCTTGGAAACCGTTAATTCCAAATGCTCATATTGATCACAGCGCAAATTAGGTATGATTTGATGATCGAGATTAAACTGCAGAAGTGCTGAGAAACATCTTACATGGAAAATCCATATTTTCAACTTAAAACCTGTTTTTTGGGATAAGTGTCTACCTTGAGACACATTATCCTAGATTTACTAAAATAGTCCAATTCGGAGCTTTTGCTTTAAAAACGGGTGAAAACTTGTGGTGCGATGTCCATGTTACTTTTTTGACTACCCCTGAATCCGACTCTAGCGTGGCGCGTGAAAGGGGTGGAACTCACCGAAAAGCAGGAAAAGCGCCAGGTGCCACCTCATAATTGAAAATCCAAGGGTGGGACACACATGAACAACAACACGCGCGAACTTGGGACGCGAGAAGAAAAACGCACCACCGCAAGAACTGACGCGCTCGGCCACTGGTGATCCACTGAGGAGCAAGTGCAGCCAGCGCTCGCCGCGTCGCGACGCCGACGACGCCGGCCCCTGCCCCAACCAACGTTGCCAAGATGTGCGGGAAAACCTGGATATTTTACTTACATTCCGTTGAATTGGAAAATGCACTAGATTTTCGGCACAATCTGGCAATAATGGCCCACCGCACCGCGGACCAGGAATCTACCGCGGGGGTTAAAATAGAGTCCGTCATAAAAATGCCCCTTTCTGGGGGAACTCAGGGATTTCGTTCAGATCGGCGTCTCCCGCACAAAAGGACGAGGCTTGATTCCGATATTGCCAAAATCTCTCGCCAATTATATTTTGACCAGGAGAATCTCGGGCTGTTTTGAAATTCTCCTGAATTTTATACCAGTTTCATTGAGAAACCAGAAAAATTTTGGATAAAAATTATACTTGGAACTAGGTAACGTTCTTTCGTTCAGGTAACGACACAATTTGGCCGAATCGATGACTCATGAAGAGACAATTCTCCACTGAAAATTTTAGCACGAATTCAAAGCTCGTTTTTAATACAGCGTTGTAAAATTTACATTTTTTACAATTAATTGATAAATGCTTATATGTAGTTTGAAGTTCCTTGAATGGAAAAACAACTGTAAATGACCCCATCTCATTTTCTGACGCCTTTATAAAGTTGCTGTGCCTCAAAAAATAAAGAAAGGAGCAACAGAAGTTATATTTTCAACCGACAAATTTCAAAATATTTTCGAATTTTACAATGGTAAAAACGGTAAACTTCGAGACGTTCTAATGAGCTTTAAACTCGAGCTAAAACCTTCACCGGTAGATTGTCTGATTGTAGAGTATCGTTTACGCTATTTTCGCAAAAAAGCCCTGAGTTTCCCAAGAAGGATTACAGAAACAGCCTTTTTTCGACAAGCTCTTTTCGAGCGAGCCGTATCCGCCAAGTTAGGTCGAAAAATCGGGTTGTGAGATTTTCAAGGAAAGTTCCCTCGGATGCAGGCCAGTCGCCCCTCCCGCCTCCGACGTGAGGGCGTATTCTTTATTTGCACTTGACCTCCGGATGATGGAAATATCTGAGACAACAGGGTCCACGGAGAAATGCGGATACTTCTTTACGTCACAGAGCGACGATGAGGGCGCGCACGCAGCGGTTAGAGGTAATCTCAGAAGACATATAATTATCGCGACGCGCTGTATGTGTCGTTGCCTGATCGTTGAAATGAAGGCGGATCATGCCTCTTGCCGACAAACGCGACGTTTATAGATATAAATCTTGGCTCGCCTTCATTTAGAACGATTAGGCAACTTTTTCGACACGAAAAATCCATTTTCACCTGATCGTTGAAATGAAGGCAAACCATGCGGCTTGCCAGCAGACATGATGTGAAGTAAGTACCAGATCTCATCTAGCTTTCATTTTGAACGGTAAGGCAACTATTTCAACACGTACCTGAGGTATGTTTCCACCTCATCGTCGACATGATGGCTAACTCCTTTTCTCTTTGTGGCATAAAGGACAGTTACAACTCGGCAAAACAGCTAGGATTTTTTTCATTCAGCACAGATTGGTATGTATTTTGACATATTCCTTCCTTTTCAAAATGGTACTTGATTCGGACATACCATAGCATATCTCGGGCAAAATTACCCTTAATTAATCTTGAAATTCAAAAATAAGAGGCATCTAAAGTTAAAGGCGATATAACTATTCGCGCAAGATGGATGTCCACTTTGCATGTGAAAAATGGAAGACGCGAAGGCGTGAGTCGTGAACTCGCAATGCTCTGCTCTACACCACTAGTTTGTAGAACCATTACGAATAAGACAAACGGAAACAAACACAATATAGAAATAGAGGGAGGGAAAGGATGCGCGTTTACGACGGCGCAGAGATACAACTATTCGTACTTGATGAACGTCCGTGCTGCATCTGAAAAATTGAAGGCGCGATGACGCGAAGCGTGAGCTCTCAATGTTTTGCTATATGCTGTCAATGAGGAGTCGCTCAAATTCGGGAGAAAAGTTAAAAAAGAGGCCCAAATACGTCTTTCCTGTGTTCGGCTGTGCTGATACTCGACCTTTCTTCTTTTTTCGGGTTCTTGTCTGATTCTTTTTTAGGATGGATTTGCAGACCTACGTCTTAAGCTCGTGTAAACCGCAGCACTAACTCGGTTCTTTTGGAAATAATGGTGCTTGGATGCGTCTAGTGGCTTTAATTTTTTACGTTTTCTTTAATTTCAGAAGTCTGTTGGTTACTTCGATACGTTCAATTTTGCAATTTTACTTTGTACGATTAAGAAACTTTGAACCTGAAACTTGTGCTGCTCTGCCAAAATTTCTGAACCCCTCTCCACGTAGGGGATGCCCTACCAAGAAATATCACATTACGCCCCTTTAACCAGCCAAGGATCTACGCCCTCAGATGCAAGCCAGTCGACCCTGGTTACATACTTCCTGTCATACTTCATTTTCTGCATGGAAAACCACTAAACGCCAATTCTTAAAAACTTCGGTGATTTTTCCAACCTGTATGAAGTTATTCTATGAAAATTTGAAGCTATGATGTTGGCTTGGTGGGTATTCTATGCAAAAACATTGAATCGGAGATTTTGAAACAACGCAACCGAGATACGCATTTTTCCAGGTTTACGGTCAATACATCGAAAATTGCGCCAAATCTGAGCTGCTGCCTTGCTATGAAAAAACGGCATGTGAACCTCCAGGCGTTGCCAACTTTCCTTTGATAAATCACGAATTTTCGGGGATATTTCTAAACGTTTCTCTTCCGATTTCTCAGAGAATTTCGTTGCAACTTGATGCAAATAGTCTAAAAATTAAAAGGAAAAATATTGATAACTTTCCTCACAAATATGCATTTTATCGGAGGAAATTTGGCAGCACTCCAGTGTTCATACGACATTTTCTCTTAGAGCGGCAGCAGTGAGGATCTACCTTAACCATGGAATTGTCTTACTGTGCGCTACGCAGCGGCCAAGTTTACGCCAAGCTGGCCTCCTTCGCCTGCTGAGCAGAGGTATCGGTCGGCCTGGCCGTTGACCTACTCTACCCTGCGTGTGGACC